GTTTCTCTTTCATAATAATGTTATCAAATAAATAAAAAATAAAGAACTAACTATAGTTAAATTTATAGACATGTGTCAACTTTTAGGAGGGGTGGTGAGGGTACACCTATAGTTAAGGGTGGTGAGCAAAAATGCACCCCCAATACATCACCCAACAAATCACCCAAGTACATAATACTGACACAAAGCCAGGACGACCTGAGGTAACCGAGACTGGCACAAGACCAGCACGCATGGGTAGAAACACGAACCTCTCACAAAGAGAACACCAACAAACGCCGCAACAAAAGACGTTAACTCAATATGTATTTTGTACTGTTACTATTCTCATAGTGGAGAACTGACAATACTGTCTGGGGATGTAGGTAGGATTATTTGTCGAGCCTGGTAAATTCTTGTTGTGTTCTCTCATGCATTTACTCTTTGTCATCTTGAGCTTATTGGTTTATTTATTTATTTCTTCCATAGGATAATGCTGTGACGAGGGGGAAATCGGTGTTTTCCCAACAAATTGCCCCTCATTTTGACCAAAAAAAGTAACAGAAGTTACTCCAGAACTTTTGTTACAAATGAAAGTTAAGTTGAGAAACTATGGAAGCCAATTTGAAAGTTGAGGAACTAAAGCTCACGTGAGTATAAAGTTCAGGACCGCTCCTAAAAAAGCTTTATTTTTTTTGTAATGTTTTGAGAATACATATTTATAATGCTTGAAATACATTAGATAAATAAGAACCAATTTGTCATCATCAAAACAATTACAATGCTTTCTTTTAGAAGCTTGTGCTTCTTAGCCTCCTTCCCCTGGAAGCTTTCAGTCACAAGGAGCAGCCTTACATTTTATAAACCGAACTGAAATGTGCGTGCAAGTTGTAGTGCCTTGTATATATATATATATATATATATATATATATATATCAGTCCCTTTCTATTGAGGGATCTTTCAAATAATCAAATAATTTTATTTGAGGGACGCCCTTTAGGGTACCCTAAATTTTTTTTCCAATGATCCAAATCATCTATTTTTTAGGTCTTCATTCATATATCATTCTTATAAAAAATTAGACAAATCGGAAACCGTTTAGACATCTAATTGTGTCCTACAAAATCAATGAACATGGTGCTTCAAGAAAATACTAAAATGTCAATAATTTAAGGATGGTGATTTTCCCACTCCCCTTTTTTCCACCTACACTCCCTTTTGTTTTTTTTAATACTTTTTACTATAAGATAAAAGGGAGTGTAAGTGAACAAAAGAGGAGTGAGAACATACAATTTTAAAATTAAAATAAAAAAAGGAGTGTAAGTGGATAAAAATGGAGTGGAAATCAATACCTTAATTTAATTGAGTGGTCAAATGATATCGGATTCAAGTATTTTTAGCAGAGATGATCTTCAATGAATATCTACAAAATAATGGTTTGGATTAATGAAATACAATGTATGGTGGGCTCTACAAGGGTGTCCCTCAAATAAGTTTATTTGAAGGATCCCTCAACCGAAGCTCACTTGTATATATAATTAAAGAGATTAATAAAAGAATGAAGTTTGTAGAGTGTTCAAACCTCTGAAGTAACAAATAATAGTCTACAAAGTGTCAACAAAATTTGTCAAATGAAAGATGTTAAATTTGAATTTGATGGCTTGAATTGGAATTTGGCACTTTGTAAAATTTTTTAATCCATCTAAAATGTCAAATATTATATTATTTTATTAAAATTTTAAAAGAAAATGGGACTCCTGGATAAAACTTTAAAAGAGGGAAAATTATAATGGAGCCCAATGTTAAAAAAATATTAGGGTTAATCGTTTTATTAGTACCTGAACTTAGACCCGATTTGTATTTGAGTCCCTCAATTTCCAAAATAGTTCTTGTGGTCCTTTAACGTCACTTTCATTAGGACAAATGGTCATGCCGTCAATTTTGTTAACTTTTTATGTTAAATGTAGGGGCAAAATTGTATTTTTATATTAAAACAAAAAAAAGGAATAAAAAATCATATCTTTAAAATAACAATAAAAGAAAATCAAATAAAAAACCAACAAAAAAAAAAGAAGAAAAATCAAGTTTGGGGGAGTAGAAATCGGGATAGAGGGGGAGAGAGAGAGAGTTTAATTTTAATTTTTTAGTCATATTTTAATCAATTTTGATACAAAAATACCATTTTTCTCCTGCATTTAACAGAAAAGTTAACAAAATTGACGGCATGACCATTTGTCCTAACGAAACTGAAGTTAAAGGACCACGGGAACCATTTTGAAAATTGAGGAACTCAAATGCAAATCGGGTCTAAGTTTAGGGACTAATAAAACGATTAACCCAAAAAATATTAAAGTAATATTTCAGATCAACCTTTATGAGATGTTATTTTGAAACACATTAACCAAAGGCGTATACCCACTATCTTTATATTTCTCTTTCTTAAGTTACTATTGCTTATTTTATTAAATACAAAAGACACAATATTAGCCCGGTGGAATGAAAAAGTGCAATATATGTTAATTGCCATGTAAGATATCAAATTTCAAATATATATACCTATTTTGTAAGTATTTCAATATTTTACATTTGACATTTCCCTTAGATGCTCTAACAACGGTAGTAAGGTTGTGATCTTGGAAATCTTCAAATCTTATGGAGGTCTCAAATTCTTGTGGCCATGCTTTGGCTTCTTCCTTTCCAAGCTCTCTAAATAAGTGCAAGCCATATCTACTATGTCAGCTGACCATAAACTAATGCTCAAAGTACCATGGTGGAAACTGGAAGCAGCACATGAACAGTCCCATGGTGAGAACTCTTCTTCTTTAACCAAAACCAAGCCAACCTCTTTTGTTAACTTCTCCATTTCCCAGTCACTGAAAGGATATGAAGCCCTGTGCATCTCACTGGAACTCTTCAAGTATCCCATCACCAAATTCTGATGCAACCTGAAATTTTTTTAAAAAAATGCATGATTTTAATCTAATGGACTTAGAAGATGAGCCTAGAGTACATGCTATTTGGGCTAGGCTGAACGGGTATGAAGCACGAGTAGTGAGCTCAATTTAAATAGGTCAGCATGACCCGATTAGCTCGGTTGCCACTTTTAGATGTGATCATGATCGATAAGAAAACGTACGTACATGGTTTTGCTTGAACTTACCGGTCGAGTGATCAAAGTGAGGGAAATTAAATATTATTCGATCAAACTGCATCTTGATAAGGAGAGGGTGATAGTGCATGGTATGCACATCTACGCCATGGAATATTTTGCATCCCCTGATCAAACTGCATCTTGAAAATTTCTTATGTGCTTACTTTCTTTCAACAAGTTAAGCAAAAGCACAGGAGAAAATTCAAGTGCTCTACCCCTTGAACTATAAAGCCTTGCTATATTCAATAGTAGTTGTATATTTTGGCATATCCGAGTAACATCCACTATGCTAAAATTTGACTTAGGCTAGGAGTCTTGCCTATGTACCCACGCTACCGAGGTATTCGTCCCTGCCAGATTTCAACAAATTGAAATAGAAGAAAACAAAATTTATATGATGGGGCTTACCGTTGCATTTGAGGACCATTAATTCCAGAACATCCAGACCATGAAGTGGTAGAACTGTACAACAGCTTGGCAAATTTGAATGTGCTACACATTCCAACATGAAAAGTTTCATCACACATCCCAGCTCCTCTCTTATTTTCTTAACCTGGATAATCCAATAGTGAGAACTGTTCTTCATCAACCAGATATAACCCAATCTCTTTTGCTAACTCCACTATTTTCCATTCATTGAAAGGAAATGTTGTCTTGTGTGTCACATGAATTTCTCCTATCGCAGTCAGCATTTCGCATGCATTCTTGAGGAATCCCCTGACCAAATCCTGATGAAACCTGGAAATGCATGAATTTCATTTAGAATTCACAATCCTCTGTTTACATTTTTGTGCTAGTGTTCTGCTTATGCTCAAAACTACATTGTTTCCATTCTTCATTTAATTACCCTTCTAATATAAATCCTAAACCCTTTCACCTAAAATAAATACATTATGAACACAAAATACCATAGAGCATATACCATGATTCTTAAAAAAGGGCTGGATATATGGGTTTGTTTGAACTTACCAAATTTGTAACCTGTTGCGTTCAGAAGAAAAGAAACCGGCGTGAGGAAAATTATAGATTATGCGATCAAAGCGTACCCTAATCAAGAAAGGGTGTTGGCTCATGCTGTGGACATCCACCTCATGCAATACTTTGCATCCCCTGGCCTGTAACTCCTTCACATTGCTCATAGCTTTTGAATAATTCAGCATCAAAGACTCTACAATTAGCATGCAATGCAAAGGATTCAATAAGCAACCTTCCAGGTTTTTTTTTCTTTTTGAAAGACAACATCTTTGGTCCCCTCTATCTATTATTTCCTTTGGGTCATTACCAAAATGTAAAGGCTTATTATCACAAAAGGTCCCTAAGATTTACGAAACTATCAGATTGCATCCTTAATGTTTTTTTGTGTCATTGGTGGTCCTCAAGGTTAGTATGTGTAATCACAAATGGTCCCTGCCGTTAGGTTCCGTCAAAAACTCCGTTAGTTTGCTGATGTGGCATATATATATATCACAAAACATCCCTGAGGTTTACTCAACTATCACAAATGGTCCCTGCAATTTTTTTTAATTTTTTTCATTTAAAATTCATAAAATTTTGGTTTTCTTTTTTAAATCTTATGAATTTTAAATTATTTTAAAATATACATTGTATTTTAAATACACATGACACTATATTATTTTAGATGTGGGTTCCACATATATGCCACATCAACAAATTAATGGAGTTTTTAAAAATTAATTTAAAATTCATAAAATTTAAAAATGAAAAAAATCAAGGGTTTAGGGTTTATAAATGGTCCTCAAGGTTAAAATCCTTATATAAATGGTTTTTTCATTTTTAAATTTTATGAATTTTAGATTATTTTTTTAAAAAACTTCATTAGTTTGTTGGTGTGGCATATATGTGGAGCCCTCATCTTCAAAAATATAGTATCATATGTATTTAAAATACAATATATATTTTTAAATATTATAAAAAACAAAAACAAAATTTTATGAATTTTAAATTAAAAAAATTTGCAGGGACCATTTGTGATAGATGTGTTAACCTCAGGGATGTTTTTTGATATGTATATATGCCACGTCAGCAAATTAACGGAGTTTTTGACGGAACCTAACGGCAGGGACCATTTGTGATCACACATACTAACCTTGAGGACCATAAGTGACACAAAAAAACATTAAGGATGCAATCTGATAGTTTCGTAAACCTTAGGGACCTTTTGTGATAATAAGCCAAATGTAAATTCTAAAACCAGACACAGAGTTAAATTGCAGACAGAAAAAGTAACCAAATTTAGGAGTTAGTTGGTTGTTTTTATTTAAATTTCGAACTGGGTTGCTTGAAAACCAAGGAAATGGGCAGAAATAAAGAGTCAAAATTGAAGTACTTGGACGTTGACACAAGTCAATGGTGATCTAAAATTACCTCTGGAGTCAAGAGAAGTCGCAACCATGTTGACAGCCAATCCAAAAGCTCTGGCTAAGCAAACAGAAAAAGAGAAGTCTCCTTCTCCGGCTAAGAGTATCTTCTGATAGCTGCTGTAATGCTTAATCTTTTTCTCAAAGCTAAACAGTTCCATTCTGATATGATTCTCTCTTCTTCTTCAACTTTCCCAGAATTCCTTCTTTTTTTTTCTCTTGTGGGACTTAAAACAGTTTGAGTTGGTATTAATATTCGTCGAATGCTTACAAATTAAAACATCATCTCTACTTAAAGTTAGGTATTTTGAAGCTATATAAAACGATAATTCAACCAAAAAAAAGGATGTACTTTTGAACGTGAAGGAAAAACAAAAGTTGACAGAGATAGTGCATGAAAGGAATCTGCTCGTTTCACACAATGATGTAGTAGTTGTTGGTTTTGCAAAAACTGATTTGCATTTTGATTTTTGATTTGGAAAACTAAAAGAAGTCAAGAGTGCATCTGTTTGTATTGAAAAATCTGGTCAGATTGATTGCTTCGGGTTTGTGTTCATGCTGCCCTTATTTTCATTGAGAACCTTGAAGTAAATGTCTTTATCTTTCTACTTTACTTTTATTTTAAGTTATACTTTACTTTTATTTTAAGTTATACTTTACTTTTAGGCAGCCTTACTTTTTATTTAGTTAAAGATGTAACTCTTGCAAATCATGTTCAATCTCCTACTTCATTCGGTGGAAACCCTTCAAGGGGACAACCACGTAAATGTATGTTGTGTGTGGAATCAATTTGTATCCCCAACACAGAAGGCAAATTTACCTTGTCAAAACCCTTAGCTACCGTTTGGTCATTTCTCATGTCATTTCCTAAAGGGGGGAAATGGAATATTCCTTTCTCATGTTTGATCATGTTGTGAAAGTAACTGGGAAATATCACTTTATTTCCTTTCCCATGTTTAGTTTGTGTATGAGTGTAAACCAAAGTTTGTTTAATTGTGCAATTATACTCATATAAAATCAAATAATAAAAGAATGCATTTAATGCTATATTGTAATTCTAAATTGTTAATGAGTACAAATGATCATGAAAAATGTGCATTTAATGCTGGCTCGTATTCCCAATTTTCCTATGGGAAGGGAAAATGAAATCCAATGGGGGAGGAGGGTTACATTTTACCCCCTATTTTCCTACGCGTCAGGCAACTATTTCCCATGCCTGGACTTATTAAATATGGGAAAGCAATTGATTTCTCATACACAAACCTCCTTTCCCGTGAACCAAACGCTTGAGGCAACTTTGCCTTTTCGAAAATTTAAAAGCAAAATAGGTTGCGCCGCCTACTTTTCCAATTAGTGACATCAATTAAGTGTTTTCTTCTAGGCATTTGCCTCATCCCAAGTATTTCCGGATGAAATTTCGCTGGGACAAGTTTTTCCGGCAAAACTTTTTAAGAAAAAAGTTAGAGATAAAGTGCAAAATAAACCATCAAAAAAGAAAAGAAAAAAAAATCATTTGCCTTGTTCCTTGAAGATATTGTTAGATAGAGTTAAGGACTGTAATTCAACATGAAGCATCTAAGAGCATTCACAATGATCATATGTAAAAGGGGGTGTATATCAAAGTTACACCCTTTGTCGCGGGAAAATGTTGCAGTAGTGGTATGTATATGGCTGTAGATTTACATTCACAGTCGGAGATGAAAAAAAAGTAAGAGATTGGTTCAGTTGGTAAGGTCCTTGCACTGTGCGTCGCCCCACTAGTATTTGAGTCTCATTGCCAACAATTCTATGTGTGGTGGGTAATTTGTAAATTCCTCTATAATCCAAAAAGGTCTAGAGTTTGCCCTGGCCTTGGGTGTGGGGGTAGCCTCTCCCTGCCCTAAACTTTTGCTCATTAAAAAAAAAAAGGAAAAAAAAAGAAAAAGAGCAACCAACAAGACAGGAAAGGGGAAGAAGACTCGCCATATCTCATGCGACTAAAGGGTAGTCGCCTACACCACGTGGGCCCCATATCTTGCTTTAGTGTTGGCTCTCTCCATTTGCTTTGGAATGGATGGTTGCAATTCACAAAGATTTGTGATGGACGACCATATTTCTTGGGATATGATTTCCCCACTCCTCTTTTCTCCACTTACACTCCCTTTTGCTTTTTAATACTTTTTAATTAATTTTGTTCATTATCTTTCCTATTCTACCCTTACTCTACATTAATTTCTTTTTACTTCACTTTTATATTAGTTCTTTTTCTTTATACTTAATTTTCCAACTTGCACTCCATTTTCAGTATTATTTTTTTTCCTTTAATCGAGTAAGAAATTAATTAATTTTTTTTTCCCTTGAATACTGTGAGTCACATGGTGAAAACTCTTCTTCTTTAACCAAAAACAAGCCAACCTCTTATGTTAACTTCTCCATTCCCAGTCAGTGAAAGGTTCCTGTGGCTCACATGAATTTCTCCACTTCTGATCAGCATCTCACTAGAACTCTTCAAGTATCCC